TGACGCTCCATTTCGTCTGATCATCAAAAATGCAGCCACACAGAGTGAACATCATAATCGAAAATTCTGGGGTGCCTTCGGAAACTTCTGCAGAGTTCAGTTCCGTTTTTGCGCAGCACAGGTAGATCCGGTTGTTTGGACAGACTGAAGGTTAATACCCGCGACTAAGCGAAGGAAAACGAATTATGAATACCATCTTGGAACCGCACTTGAATGTAAGAAGGCTTTGTGCCAGTTAAGTGGTACCTGTTCATATGTTTTAGGCGGGTGGTTCGAAGATACCCAACAACGGGATAAAGTATTTAAGCAAATAAATCAGCATGAAATTACATCGTATGTCCACCAGCTTTTAAGTTTCTACCTGGACACTGGCGCAGTGCTTTCAATGATCTATGCAAAGACAGCAAACTGAGAAAATGAAGACATGCAAAAGTATACGACTGTAAAAGTGTGATTTTGACACCAACGTCCTCAGTTGGAAGTGTGCTACCGTGTCAGCCCGATCCCGTGGTGAGCTGCGCGGTCGCTTACCGTAACGTCCTCTGTCCGCCCAACGCTCCTTATCAATCGATGACTTAAGCCGCGTGGGACCGGCACGGCGAGAGTTCGATGCAAGTCGACGCTGCCCCCCCCCCCCTCCGTTGGTTGGCTGCGGGCGGACAAAGCCCAAGCGCACACACGCGCCCCGTGCCGATGCCAACATCAAGGGCCCTCGCTCGGCCGATGACAGGAGGATCCTTGCTGCCTCTGTCCGCCGAGCGGTGTGCACGCTGCCCTGTCCCCTGGAAAGCTTGTCCAATAACACCGTCCTCCTGGACTTCTGATTTGGGAAATCTTCGTGTTTACGAGCACCACGCCTCGATACTACTGCCCCCTTGTGTGTGAAACACGACACTCAACACTGGGTGCCTATTCGTGAACTGACCGTAACTAAACTCATGCGCACTTTGCCTGATTTTTACCGAACTGTGCATGCGACTCGAAGTATCAGGACGGGCCATAATAAATTAACCTTGTAGCGAAGATCCAACCGTTCATGGTCTGTATGTATGCTTCCAAAAAGGTGCAGATTCCGCCCACGAGGTTCATCGAGCATCTAAAGAAGAACGGACAACTACAACAACAAAATGGCCGTCCGAGTTCGTGGCGAGGTCTTATGTGCCGACAAGCAGACGAGATTACGAAAATAAGTGGTAAAAATCGAGTATCTTTTTGAGCACAATATATTTTGTAAAAGTGGGGAGGGTAGGAGAAATTGTAAGATAGCTTAGCGGGCTTTCCTGAAATGGAAAAAAAGACCAATTAAGTAAGCAAACAAAAGTACAAGCGCAATTAACTACCATGGCAAATGTTTCACTACTCTTCCCGGTCGGAAGAAGACGTCGCCGTAAAGCAAGTGGTGGATGTTTTATGCTTAAATAACTAGATGAATAAAGTTTCAAGAAAAAATATTCAGAAGAAGATGGGAACATGTATGCTGCACAATGGTCCAGGACTACAAGGTATGCTCCGTTGAGTAGCTCTGCGCATACAGAACGACAGGCAGATATAAAGTCGGCCGTTAGGCAAAACCGTTCTTAATATCGACTGGTGATCAAACCAGACTCTTTATTGCGCGTTCAATGTGGTCTGTGCCACTTTGTCATCCATCTCCTTCAACTATGCTAGTGGATAGATTCTGTGGAAGACCGTCTCCAAAACGCCATTCGACTGACCTCGACTACGCTGTCCGGTTGGCGTTAGGGGTTGACAACCTTTAGAATATGGTATTAGGGGTGAACGCGATCGCTAAATCAGTTGATTTTCCCTTCAACATTGCGCAAATTGAAGTATTCTTCAGTTCCATCTCTAAATGGCAGACAGCAACCTCCGGCGATTTATGGTTGAGAGCCTTAAGAAGGGCATAGTTTCAAATACTCCGAAGTCAAAGGGTTGCCAAGAGGACGGAGTAAGAACATCTCACCTGAATCGGTGTGGTTGCAGGGTTTTTCAAACTTTCGATGATGTCTATAAACTAGCCGAGATATTCTAGTCACTACTAAGATCCGAGCGTACCGAGCACCCGCATGCAACAGACCGTGTATTTCCCGCGGCGACAATCACATTTGACCATCTAATCGACGGGCTCGAAAACGGCGTTCGTGAGTCCGGAAATCTCATGAGATCAACGTTGAGAACGTCATCGGAGCGTGGGGAGGCGGTGATGGAACTGTGTATGTTGGCCGTTTGATATCCAGATTACACCGGCACATGTCAAAAGTGGCCTCGTTGCCGACCATAAAGGCACAGTCCGAATGTTCTAATGCGGAGTTCGTGCAAAGTGTAGCGCTGTAGGGTTCAACGTTAACAATTTAATGATGGCGCGACGCTACTACCGATATTTAAGTAGCCTCTCTTTGTGTAATGTATTAATTTTGGACCACGGTGAACACCCCTGCTCGTTAACAGAAGCCAAGAGACGAGACGCAGGAAGCAGTTGTGAATACGGACACACGATCGCTGGAATAAGAGCTTTATTCGCCTAACGTTTCGGATTCCTACTAGAACCTATCACAAATGCGGATACGGGTGGTACATGCACAAGGAGCTGCAGTTTTTATGGGATGCAGTCGCCATGCTACCGCATACCTATGAATATTCACGGCTCTCCCACTTCATTAGGGATCGTTGCACTTGATGTGATGACTGTTTGATGGCCGACACTCGCGTCGTTAATTGCTTCAATTTCGTCACGTGTGTTGGATGTTGATGTGATGATTGATCGAACATCTGACGCACCGACCCTGGCGTTGGGAAAAGGGTTCAGCTGTACGCTTCCCGTGTGGTTAATTACTCCGCCTAGGCGAAATTTTAGCACGCAGTATGGAGTGGGAAGCTCGTTGCACTTGTTGATGGACTGGGGGCCAGTAAACCATGATTCCAGTAGCTCATGGCTCACGCGGTTGTCACCTCTTGCGAGAATTTCGGCCTCATCGAATTTGAATGTGTGGCCGGATCTCGTCGAATGAGCTGCAACTTGAGAGCTGGCGTCATTTCTGCGCACCGCTGCCGCGTGTTCGGCCATTCTCGTTCGGAGCTGTCTTCCGGTTTCTCCGACGTAGTTGCTTTGTCCGCAACTGCACGAGATCCACTAAACGACTCCTGACGTTTCCTATCGTGACAGTGTCTTCCGGTTTCATCATCTGACGCCTGATGATTATCTCCGGTCTGTGTGCAACTCCAATCCCAAGTGATGTGAGAAGGCGGCCGACATCTTCCGAAACGTTCTTGACGTGCGTATGTGCTTTACAAAATTTGGAGTTCGTGCGACTTGGCCTTTCGTATAGTTTGGGTATCCACCGGTTGACGAAGTCGCGGTTAGACATTTGGCTATGAACACCCGTCGAATGCAGGGTAGTTCGGCGATCTTGTCTTCCCGCTCACTGTAAGGCGTTTCAAAACACCGATAGGGCTCACTTATGGCGACTTAACCCCATAGATACCGTAGCTCCTTATTTATGAATTACCCATAACTGCTGTTGCCTCTGATGATGGGCTTCAGCAGACGAATAAAACTCTTGTTTCAGCAATCGTGCTCTCTTCTTCACTTCAGAGGTGAGTTAACACCGCATACCTATGAATATTCACGGCTCTCCCACTTCATTAGGGATCGTTGCACTTGATGTGATGACTGTTTGATGGCCGACACTCACGTCGTTAATTGCTTCACTTTCGTCACGTGTGTTGGATGTTGATGTGATGATTGTTCGACCCACCGGCCCTGTCGTTGGGAACAGTGTTAACCTGTGCGCTCCCCACGTGGCTAATTACTCCGCCTAGGCGAAGTCGCAACACCGAGTATAGAAGGGGAAGGTCGTTGCACTTGCTAATGTACTGGGGGCCAGTAACCTTGACTCAAGCGGCTCCCGGTTCACGCGCTTGTCACCTCTAGCGAGAATTTCGGCCTCGTCGAATTTGAATGTGTGGCCAGATCTCGTCGAATGAGCCGCAACTCGAGAGCTGGCGTCATTTCTCCGCACCGCTGCAGCGTGTTCGGCCATTCGCGTCCGGAGCTGTCTTCCGGTTTCTCCGACGTAGTTGCTTTGTCCGCAACTGCACCAGATCCGATAAACGACTTTGTACGTTTCTTGCCATGGCAGCGGGTCTTTCAGTCTCATTACCTGACGCTTGATGGTTGCCTCCCGTCTGCAGACCCTGGGCATGAACCACCCGTATGTGCATTTTCTCTGGGGATGGGCTCGAGCAGGAATTTGAAACGTCAGGCGAATAAAGCTCTTGTCCCAGCGATCGTGTCTCCTTCACGACCCTTGCTCTCATTTACCAAAATGCTTTCAGACTACAAATCTTGTAATTTTCCTGTAGCTTAGGTGTGCTTCAAATATCTACTATATTAATCAACAAACCGAGTTCATACGCCTTCAGATACTGTTAACGTATGAAACACTGTGCTCATCCGTACAGTTTTTGATAATCCCCGTTGTATTTCTTTCATATTACTCCCTTTCCACTTTTTCTATACACTTCCTCTGCGATTTCAAAGGTTCACACCTACTTCCCCTCAAACTGAACTGAACTGAACAATTGCGGTTGAAATCAGTGCTGCCGTGTATATTGCAGACTCGAGTTTAGACTTCTTTTCCTAGTCAATACTGAGGCGCCTCATCATGAAGAAGCCTTGCATACCGATGTACTGATCAGCCAGTTTTCGGATCTTCTCCAGGACGGATAAGGTTTATCCTATACCATTTCGAATGGATTGCCTGCTTGAGAGACGAGCGACAACTACCAGTTTCCCGTCGTCGCCATCTGACTTACTTCAAATGTAACAGTTCCTAATACCTTCAATAACATCGAGAGAAAATTCCGACCCACCCAGCAAACATGACCATCAGCATCGGCCCTATGATTACCGTGATGGCAGCCTAAAGTCGGCAGCAGCTGCTCAGGGATGGAGGACTTCGGACTAAAACCAACAGGAACGCAGTCCGCAATGTCGCTAAGGATGTTCTTGGGTCTTCGCTAGTTTGTCTTCGTGGGTGGGGGACAGGATCCGTCACCCGCTGGATCTGCTACCGCAACATCACTGAAACCGTCTGAGATCAGGCAGGATCATGGCCCTACCAGATTTAGTACGATTACAGGGGAAGCCGTACTCAAGCAACGCCACACAAAAGAGGAGTTGCGGACACGAGCTGCCTCGCACAACGTCCTTTCTGGACGAGGTGAAATTCCATGGCGCATCTTCAGCCACCTCAATGAAACCAAGCTTCGTGAGTATTACTTGGTTCATCTCTTGGAAGGCTGCAACGTAAGTTTCGTGATTTCACTCGCAAACTCGAATTGCGGTCTTGGCTAGTGCCCTAATAACGATGACAGTATTCACAGTATAATAATAACAATAATAGTAATAATAAACAAACTACGCTTTTAATGCTCCAAAGAGAAAACATCGTACGTGCGTTCCGATTCGATAGAACTAAAGGATAGAAATCACGGGTGGGGTTACGGGACAGCGTCGTCCCGTTGCGCCTTGGGGTTCAATCTAGAGTCCTTGCGGGCTGTCGCATAGCGACCGATGCCACATGCAGGTAAGGTGGTGCTAACAAAGACAAGGGTGACCAGGATGGTTTTCCAACTGCCGTCGCAGCCAGCCATACCTAACTCCTGGCTTTTTTTAATTGTGACTCAGACAAGGGGATCTTTGGTCATCGAGCGTTTTTTACGTCCAACACTCTTCCATTGAGCCATTGGCTCGTTGCCCTGTCGGTTACGATCGGGAATATCAACTAACGGCACTCCTTTTCAGCACGTAGTACTGGTTGCTACGCGACTGCCCGTGAAAGCTTTAGATGGAGTTTAAGGGTGTAGCGAGACGAGCAAGTTCCGTAACCCAATCGGTGAACCGCATTCCTATGATAGTTAATATTCTCGGCCCCACACCACCGGACAACGTGCCCATAGCTCAATGGTAGAGCCTCGGACTTAAAATGTTCGATGGGCAAAATCTGGGGTAGGAATCAAAGGTAGAAACGTGAGGTCAGGTAGTGCTGGTGGACGACGGCTTATATGCCAGAAACGATCATTCTAGTTTCCCTTGTCCGGTCAGTACCCCTCACGATGCAACTCAGTCCACGGACTTAGCCAGAAGCTGAGCGCCTGACCGAACAGTCGAGGATGGAGAGTGACACCGCTGTGTGGAGAAAACCTGGCTAACAATTCAAAAAGCCTACCAGTCGAGGATAAACACTACCAAAGCTAAACACCTGAGGCAACACAACGACGGAATGGCTTGAGTACAAGTCAGAGTAAGACGTCTCCTATCGGCGGATAAGTTGAGTGAGCAAACCATATCTCGTGGACAATTTCAAATCTCAATCATTCTGTATACCTAAACAGTGGACGAGCTGCATTATTTTCGATCAAAAAAGGCCCAGAAACGCTGATGCCCTAGAGAGTCTATTATATGAAAAATAAGATCTAGTAGTTCCGTTTTCTAGTCAATTCACCACTTTTTGCCCGAACGCCACGTTCAACGCTATACGAATCATTCGGAGCCCGACGCGTATGATCTTGGAAGACCACACGCCCCGGTAATGAAGCCTTTCCTCAACAGAAGGTTCGAAGAAATGTGATCTCACCAAATTGGCTTCTTACGGGCCTTCTTCTGCCCAGGTTTCTTACGTTCACTGAAACGGTCGTCCTGAGTAAGAAGACCGGCAGCACGGAGTCGGTTGGCTCCTAGGTCTCCTGGCAGGAAGCAAGCCAATGCCCTTGAGATGGCCAATCGGAGGGCATTGGCCTTGGAACTGGAACCGGTCTCGGTGTCCGCAATCTTCGCAGTAATATCAACAGTGCCCAGCATACCTGGAATGCAGCAGAGGAGAGTGCAGGCTGGAGTCGACACAGTTCACCAAAAGGTCTGAATGCGTGACTCAGAGGCTCGTAGTCGAGCTCGGACAAACCGACACAGACGACCCAGAACGTCTGGTGGATAGGCTAAAACCCAGCAAGCTCCCTCCCAACCGAGTAACACGGTAGCTTCCGAAGGGTGGTAAATCGAGCACAGTGTTCAAACCCACCGTGAAGTGGTTCTTTCGCCAACTTCAAATAACGGAGCATTGACGCTGGAAATACGGCACTAATATTTCAGTTATTTCACCAAATTTTCGAAAAGACTTGTTCGCCACAAAATGTTCCTCGTAGCTAGATATGATGTTAGAATTAGACGGGAAAAATAACGTGACGCCTATCTACTAAGCTAGCCAATTATAAAATGTTGCTTTCTCACAAAATTTGCCTTTTACTCGAAATTCAACTTGAGGTTTGTACGTTAATTTTATAGCTGTTTTTTTAGATTTTGGGAGATTTTTGTCTGCAATAAGATATACGCCGTAAGCAAACCTGAACTTAGGCCGAACTGCAAAAGAAGGCGACAGGGAGACCATTTTAAACAATAATAGTTCGACCGTCTCATCCGACGATGTCCACCGTGTGCTCCACTGCAAGGTGAGAGCAGGGACGGCGACTTGCGCGTAAAGTAGTTTATAGTGGAAGGAGACTTTCGCAGCCCCTACCGCACTCCCTCCTCCCCACCTGGGCCCGGTGTCAGGACAGAGTCAAGGTGGCAAGGCGCGGTCGAACCCGCACTTCGGCGCTCCACTCCACACCCCCCCCCCCTCCCCGGTCCACAACAAACACTTGACCAGAATTTTGACCAACAACAACAGAAAAGACGTGGATGCCTAGGCAGTCATGCACACGACCTGTATACCCAGCGAGTGCGAAAACCGGGTAGGGGAGAACAGCCAGCACACATCGGGCTGCAAAGGTTACAAGATACCATAATAGCAGCACAGGAACTCGCTAAAAGGCCAGACACGTGTTTTGCCGATACTCTACCACTGCGGGGGTTCGGCCCTTCAGTGGGTTCCCCAGCATTCCCCGTCTGTTTTGTGGTGGATACCCCAGTTTAAAAATTGCTGCTTTTTGATTTCCTCAGAAATTAACTGCGAACTTGGAGTGGGTCAGCATATACAAAGGTCTGTAGGCGCAGACCGAACTCTGATGTAACCCTAAAAATACTACTGGCTGTCTGTCAGTAGTTAATCAATATTACGCGGTTATCCCGTTGTGCCTGATAAACCAGCCCAAATATTCATACACTAGGTTACAGTAAATTCAGGCTAGACTGACGGGCCGACAAGCGTAGGCATTTTCTCGAACCGCTGTCTTCCATTCGGATGGCAGACTCCTTAATTCGGATCACGAATGGAAGCTACGCGCTAGTGATTTGGAGAGTTCATTTGCCAATGCTCTCAAGAACTTGGCCAATATAATGTCCGGCCCCGATGACTTTGCCGTTCTGTGATTCTGCAGCTCTCTTTCCATGACAGATGTCGGAAAGAGTACATACTTAAGCCCGGCACCAGCGTTTACAACAGCACTCAGTTCCCCTAGTGAATACTGCGGTAAAGAACTGATCCAAGTGTTCAGCTTTCTCGCCGCTTCCAACTACTCCCACACGACTAGCATCCTTAAGTACTGCGACTGAGCCCTTGTTTTTCAGGATGGTGGATGATGAGTTATCCGCAGGTTCTGTGAAAACTCCAAACGAGACAGGAGCAACGGCAGTAGGACTTCAAATAAAACTAACCAGTCAGCTGGAGAGGGAACATCAGTTGCTCGCGGTTTCCCAACTCGGGGAAGAATTCCAGAAGTCGTTTTTCGTTAACGCTGAACTTTCCTGTCCCCGGATGAAAGAGACGAACCTCCGCAAATGCATGTTTCTTCTGACCGAAGGCGTCAACAAACTTTTGGTTCAAGTCGGGATCCAGTTGGGGCTAAGAGTAAAAAAATGAAGGGTAGTCAGGATTTTAGCAATAAGCTCGCTAAAATAAATCCGGTTTTAGGTGGGTAAATGAGGATATCTGCTAACGATTCCTATGGGTAGACACGCAAAACTTCCGTGGTAACAATGGCAGTGAGAACTTTTTGAGCCTAGCCTAGAAAGGCGGTCAATGGCCGAATTAGTTTAGATCAGGCCGGCATATCAGACGCAAACAACAGTTTCTATGAGGAACAAATGCCAATTAGAGACTATTATGTCTCTTCAGCAATGCATACAGAAATATTACATATATTTGGTAGATTGTTTACATGGAGAATAACGGCTGCACACAGAGGACATGGTAAGTAAGCTATCCTCTTAATTCAGGTAGATGTTAAGACTGTCTGGACCTCAGTTACAGCGACAGAAAAAACGTTCCACACCCACAAAACCTGCTACTCCAAAAGATTCAACCGCGATGCGGACGTCGAGTCGTGGCCTTTCCTCTCCTTCGGCTGCCTCGACCTCTCAGAGGATGGTTGGCGGGCCTTTTATTTACGTGCTTTGCAATTCGCCGCCTCGTATGGGAGGGGGAAGGGAGGAGGATGATTGAACCTCTGTCGGGTGGTCGGTCTGGCGGCTCTTCTTCTTCCTCGCCGAGTAAACTCGTCGCCGGGCTGTCTCTGTATGGCTTCCTTAAGACCAGTGTGGTTGGTTGTTCCTGAGCTCTATGACCATGATGAAGTAGGACTTTGTAGGCTGAAGAAAGATCCAGATGCCCATTGATGGAGTTGGTATCGGAGTAGCACACCTCGGATATTAGCCGCTCTGCTTTTGTATTGTCCTGGCCTAAGATGGTAACCCCCCGGAGATCTAAAAGTATGCCCACTTTCTCAAACCTGCGTTGCTAGTTGGGAGTTTAGGCCTAGCCGGAGTCGCGATTTGTGCTCTTGTAAACGGGTCTGCAATTTCCGCCCGGTTTCCCCAACATAATTGCAGTCGTCCTCATTGCAACTTATTTTGCAGACAACAGCTGAGATTTTAGCGGGTAGCAGCGTGTCTTGAGGTTGCATCAGATGGAGCCGAATTGTTGCCTGGGATCGACTGGCTATGCCTGCTCTGTCGGGTTGTAACAGTCGAGAGACCGCCTCGGACACCTCTTTGGCATAGAGAATGGACCTCCAGACTTCGGGTTGCTGCTCATTTGGCTGTCGTCTGTGCGCTCGGCGCCTGGTTCTCTCGATAAAATGTCTGGGATAACCACTAGCTGCAGAGATCTTGAGGGTACAGTTGTTCGGCCCTTTAATCTTCTGGTGTGCAGCAGTGTGTTTTGACTCTTTGGAATAGAGTGCGGACACAGCTGCGTTTGTGAAACGAAGGATGATGGCTTTTTAAGTGTACGATTTGCCTCGTGTCGGTGGCTTTTCTGAAGACTGTATTTTGCAGTCGTCCAGTTGTACACCGCCGCACAAGCACGTCAAGGAAGACCAGTTGGCTGTTTGTTTCTGCTTCCATCGTGAATTGGATATCCGAGTCAACCGAGTTCAGCAGCTCCTCTAGGTGCTCAGTGTCAGACACTTGTTTTGGGCATTCAAAAACTCCAGTTTGCATTTAAGATTACAGGTTTACAAACGCACGTTCCATAGCCCTTCATTGACCCAAGTGCACATGTCCTTACCTCCGAGGACTGCGATGCGCTATGCAAGGCATCTTTCATGAAGATGGCAAGATCCTTCTGACAAATCACGGTTTTAAAGGCAACTCTGTCATGGAAGTAGTGTCCCCGAGTTTGTCCTCGCCTCTGTCTTGCGGAATCTAGATTCCAAAGACTGGACCTCCTGCACCTCCGTTAGTAGGGTGTGAGTGTCGATTTTGTCCTTGATGGTAGTCTGGAGATCCAGGTTATTTGAAAAAAGCGCCACATTTGACGTGGGGATATCCACCAAACAATTTTTAACTAGCGTAAAGATGAGCGTCCCGTCAGAGGACTCTTTAAAAAGCTACTTTTCATAGGAGTCCGTCACCGTCGATGTCCATCACTTGCGACAACTGCTCTTTAAACGAACACTAAATGCCTTCGTCCACTCATCTGATGTGGTGGAGCAACTTATCAAACAGAGCCGGTTTTGAAGAGGGTCAAACTAATGGCTTTTACCTAAAATCGTGAACCGACTCTGTGAATAGGAAAGCTGTCGACTGTCAGCTGTCTAAGAGCCCACTGCAATCAACTGACAGCTGAAGTCTGATGACGACTAGCTCTTCGATAGGATCTCTCAGTAGTAGTGCTGGGATCTCGTCTGGCGCCTGCGATCTATCTGAACTCGCATTCCGTACTCCAGCCCTCAATTTGAATTCGGTATGTTCAGGTGTGCAAATGGGTTGACTAAGCCCGGCTTCCTTGGATGCCCATTGTCGCTCCTGGTTCCATAGTAAAAAACACACTTGGGCAGAGCTCCAGTTTTCCGAGGCCCATTAGTCACAGTAATAATCTGTTTGTCTGTCACTGTAGCCCAAATATTCTCGGTTTTTATGATTTTCTTGTCGGGTTTACACATAGCACAATGTAAAGGTTGTGCAAGAAAGACGATCGCATCCGTTGCAGAAAATTTGCCTGCCAGTCGTACAAGATAAGCACCCGGTTACAGTTTATTTCTATAAACACTTCTCATACCTCTTTGGGCAGTCGTCGTTTTTGCTGTATGTCTTCTCGGTCGGATCTTATTTCGTAGTCGCACCTCCAGGAGACAAGCCACAGCCGCCTGTCATAGGGGATCGGTGGTAATGGAGGGGGGGTGGGTTAACACCAACCCCTAACCCTAATCCCTAACACTAACTCCCAACCCCTTACAGGTGCGGCTACGAAATAAGATCTTACCGTCCTCTCAACAGATTCCGCCAATGTACTGCCTTAGTTCCTCTCGTGCTCTTGTCGGACAGCTGGTATGCTGAATACATCCGTCCAGAGCCCTGTTGAAGATCATCTGATCGTCCTAGAGTTACACGCATTCTGAGACGTCTGTATAGACGCAACTGGTAAATCTGTGGAAGAGGGTGATAATTCTTGCTTGAATGGTCCACAAATGCCTTGCTGATGGCAACGACTCGTCAGGAAATCCAGAACTCACCCTTTAAGCAGTATGCGCATTCAGTAATGAACGTGCGAAAAGAGTAATTGGACATTTGGTGGTCTTAAAGCCTACTGGTGTCGTAGGTTTCCCATACACTGTCGTACGTAACTGACTCGAGTTATTTTAATTACCAAACAGCATTAACTTGACGAAAAGTGTGCCAAAGTGAAGTGCTTTGTTAACGTACACAAGGTAAGAACATACAACTTAACCCGAAACTGCCAACAGTGTTACTTTTTAAGTCTATTCTTCTTAGTTTACCATTACAAACTAACTGTTTAAATTGAAATCCCCGCGAATAAAACTACTGATTGATTTAAGACATCACAGTTGATAGTACGAAAGGTGTTTACAAGATTAAGAGTGACTGCAAAGATAAGTAGAAGGCTTACCTCAGGGAAGACTTCCTTCGCGGCGTCAGCCTGAACGGAGGTCCGGTAGGACATGATGAACTCCTCAGCGTGCCACGAGAGTGGGTGTTTCACAAGAGTCTCCATGACATTCAGCCAATTTGCGTACTGCAAAACAACATTGAGACTCGTGGATGTACAACAAAAGTAGTGCAGGACAAGAAAAGGCAAGTCCACATACAGTAGGTGCTACCTCATGAAGTGTTAGTCGAAATTCTGAGATATGTTTTTGATTCAAAAAATGACTTAGGCGGAGTTGTGATAGTAATTATCGCGTAGCACGATCCTAAAAAATTTCAGTGAGATTTTAATGACCTTCTTTCCGGCCCCATTAATTTTAGATGCTCTTCTAAATTTGAATATATTTTATAGAAAACATACACAAAAATACTCTTTCTTGTACTCATTTGGTAGAAAATTGCGTGGTTAAATTTTTATACTTGAAGAGGGCTCCCAAACTAAACGCTGTATACCTTGGGTCAGAAGAATATCACACATGTTACTATGCTGTTAGGATGACGTCATATGGATATGTATATGCACCGGTGGTATACTTTGTAAGTGGTAAAAAAATTTGCTCAATTTTTACGTGCATCAGCAACAAGATTCAACAAGCAAACTGTACTAAATAGTTCTTCGCTAACGGCGAAGCAAACGCAAATTACACAACAGCGAAAATTCAAAAGCTACCATGTTGTCTTTTATAGGCTCCAATAGCTTCTGGCTCAACTTTTCTTGACTTAGCCACTCACTTGAGGCCAGAATCCTAAAAACAGAAAGGTGCCAAAAATATGTGCATCGTCTTAAGAAGGCTTTAAACTATAAAAAAATAAAAACAAATACTTGTCGATATTTTGCAGGTGCAGAAAATGTGGAGCACTTTCAGTACAACATCTCGCTAAATGGCGTGTGCAGATTCTACGTCAAGGTAATTCTGAGTTGAGCGAAAGTCGATTGTTAGACAAGAGTACATGATTTTTACAATTAAAAGGGTACTCTACCGAAGTTTTTCGAATAGCCGAAAGTACTGACGTTCTATTTGTTACACTTGAGTTGGTCAGGTCAGTTTTGATGGCCAATAAGGACTTCACACCGGCTGCTAGGCGAGAATTTGAAACCGAAAGGCGTGGTCAGTTGGGACGAAGATAACGAACTAAATGGAGGCTAACTTTGAGTCTCAGGGCGTGTAAATCATACGTATTGTATGTATTGTCGTCGGTACAAACCTCAAATTCGGTCGGAAAGTGGATATTCATATTTGGACCTAAATCCATCAGTTTTAGTGACATAACTGCGTAAAATTCACATTCTGCCGGTGGGCAGCAGTAGTCTATGATTGGCCATACTCGCAGCAGGGATACTAGCGGATTTGAACGCCACTGATCAACATAAATTTTAAGCCGGCAGCTTTACTAGTCAATCGGGCTAGACCGATCTCGCATCGCACACTGCAGGGAGGACCTGATCGCTACAAAAGACTGTTAGCATAACCACTATTTGAACAATCATCAAGTAGACGTAAATGCTAGTATTGCAGTCGAAAGTACCGCTTACTAGCAGATGCGGCAAAATAACACAACAGGTGAAACATAACCCGTAGGGAACACCTTGCAGACTCAAAATCGCATTAAATGGAAGATGCAGGTCAATAACTCGTGCTGCAAAAGAACCAAGTGGTGTAAAAGCATTGTGGTAGACGAATGATCTGTAACTTGAGGATCTGCAAACCAAAAAATGAGATGTGGATCAGGTAGGCGTTTGTTGGAAAAAATAAGGGCGGAAGGGCTAAAACGACATGCACCAAAAACCATTATGAGTTGTGCCGAAACTTGGTGGTAAAATACTCGTAGGTATAGTTGCAAACATCATTTATGATAAACGGCCTTTACTATAGCCTAAATGTAACCGTTTTAGTAAATGGGGGTTGGTTTAAACAGGACCTCAATGTTTCCGAACGCATAGCCAAGCACTTTTCTCAACCCTTGGAGACAGTCAGTAATAACAGAAAGCAAGATCGGACGAATGTGGTAGATACTAAAACAGAATGGCCCCAAAAGCTGAAGAACAAAACTGCTTAGAGGTCCTACTGACCAACACGTAATCGTGATAAGGGATGAATTAGTTAAGTTTCTTTTTGGGGAAATAACTAGTTAGATATTCGGGAAATTTCGACTGGCACATTGGACAGTTATCCGCTTTTTGTCACGGTCACTACTCAACTAAATAAACTTTGGTGCCAGTCCTCATAGAATTTCCGATTTTATTCCCCAACAAATCGCAATTTGGTTTCATCACAAAAGTCAAGTTAGGCCGATTAGCCAATAAATTGTGTCCTGGATGCAACGTTTGTATTTTAAAAAATTAAGAGGATGACAACAACCAGAGAAAACAATAACAGTAGTTGGACTTACAATTGCTTCGGATTTTTGAAGGCTGAAAAATCACGTTCGATATAGCCGCGATCCAATTTGAAGTTCAAATCTTCATATAGGCAGGTGGCTTTCTAACGATTAGGCAGGAAAAGTGCGACAAACATGCATAAGTTCGTAGAACGCTGGCTTTCCAGTGTAGTAGAGGTCATGAAATGGTCTCCCAGTCTTGTCAAATTGGATCTCTGAAAGTGCGAGTTTAACAGAAATGCAGTTTACTTTTCTTTTCTGGATATATTTCTTCGGGGGGCTGGAAAAAAAGTAAATGGGAAAGGATCTTACTTTGAGCTTAGGGCGTGCTCTCAGGCTTCCCAGAGCCGACGGGAAGAAATAGCGCACAGCCTCGTCAATCTGTGACTGATCAAAAGTGGCTGGATCCTGACCCATCATACGGGCAAGGTATCTTCGCCCACGTTCATATTTGGCTCGTTCTTCTTCGAGCATATTTTCTAAAAAATACGAAGACCGAAGCGCAAATAACCATATGCTTGCACATTCTGCAAATAAAACTCTATTGAAGACGTCATGGCATCACTTTTGGTTTTTTCGCCTCCAGGGGAACCAGGAATTACGCCAAGAAACTTTTGCGAAAGTTTAATAATCCCAAACGGTCGTTACATGCTTCCGGACGTTAAAGGTCTCTGGAACCCTTGTTGAAAAGATCCGGCGCGCCAAGCTTCTCAGCATGTTGCCTCTACCGCTCCCAGTCAAGACACCCCTGACACCAAAGGTCCACAGGGCTCTCTCCGTCCGCCTGAATTGCAATTCAGTAAAAGCAAACACGATTAACTAAATATTTTTCACGATTATTTTTTTAAGTTAATAGAGCTTTCTTCTTCATGTCGACTTCTTTTAACATATGATACACACAAAAATACTATTTTCCTCTCCATTGACCACGGAATTATATTACTTGCCAATATATCATACAAAATACACGAATACAAAGTGACATTTTCCTGATACAATAATATTTCTACAGAAAAACAGTCTAAGCAGAACGGATAAACGAAAGTTCGTTTTAACGTTAGCTCTAATAAAATTCCTGCTGCACACGGTTGTGTTTCACTGCCTATCTTATAAGCACGAACTGAACACTGTGAAGTGTCTGTCTGCCTGTTGTAAAATTCGCTCCATGGTGAATTTTTACTCATTATGAATCTCCCCAAAGAGTATTGAATGAACCATTTTATTTATTTATTTAAGCTACTGAGTCAATTCAAATCGACAAAAGTGCCGACGTAGGATCATTTGATATTTGCTTACTGTAGATTTTTATAAAGGAAAATCTACTGTGCGAAATGTCCTCGTTATTTTGCGACATTTATTCCCCTCGTCAGCTAAATGCCATGTGCACATATAGGTAATGCAGCAATTTGCGATTAAACTACTGCCATCTTCCTTTGTACAAAGTATCTCGGGCAAACTCATCCTAAACTTTATGCTGGTCCGCGTACACAACAACCATGATCTCAGAGGTTTACTTTTAATACCATGATAACTAACGCTAATTAATCAAGCCCGCCTTTCTCTGCGTGAAGGCCCTCTAGTTTGTATGATGACATAATGAAACCTACTGATGTACAAGAAACTGTGGAGCGTAAAAAAAATTGAACGGGCCTATTTCAGAACTCCCAGAGCGCTATAGCTCTATCTAGAAGACAAGAAGAAAACTGGAAACGAACTATTTCGAGTTGGTTGCGCTTTGGTTTCACTGGCTTAAGATCTTTGTCCAGTCAGTATTTAAAAAATGAATTTTCTTTTAAGTGACAAAAACCGTCTTCAAAGGCATATTAATGTTGAAAAACTATGACGAAAAGAAGCAATACGGCATCAAGATTAGTGTTTTCGTTTAAATTGTTTGCTGAGTGCAACTATTCCGCGTAGCTCACGAACGCCAATGCCGAGAGCAAATCAAATGTTTTTGCCGATGTCTCACCATGTGGGTCTTCGTTAGGGCATTGACTGTCTAAATCAGACTACACTGATTAATTAGTGTTACTTAGCTAAGGTCAAATACAAGGCCCGCTGCTCAGTCTCAGATAACAAGTGAAACTTTGCTTTTCTTCTATATTCCTAGGTGATAAATGTCTATTATTCATTTAAATTCTTTTGAAAAGTCGCTTTTTATTGCTAACTATGATTTTTCCCAGTCTGGTCGGACGGTCCGGCAAAGTAGCTGCATTTCACGAAGCGAATTTTTAATGACGCCGTGTCAGACCGTCTCTTTCTAGTTTTTTAGCAACTTAACAGCAGCATTTGCTATTCTGTGCGCTTTATTGTACGTTACAAACGCTTCGACTCTTGTGCTGCAACGAAAAACTATCGTGTATACTGTAATTCCCCGGAAAACACGTGATAAAAGACGAAAGCTCACTGACTTCCCGCCGTCTCTGAGTGTTGGAATCGCGGCCAGAGACACAGCGGGTGCCAGCATGTGTTCGCTACCTCTGCTAGTCGTAAGAGAACATCATCCGACGAAATACTAGATCAGTTGATATATGCGATATAAGCGGCACTTCTAAAAAGTAATTGAACAAGCGTTTAAAGATATTGCAGTAAAAGGCCCCGAAACTGAGGAGAGGATGAAACGTAAGCAAAATTTTATACTGCGAAACATTCTCAATCACATATCTGTTGTAGAGGGGGCACATTTGTTCCTGAAAAGTTGTGGCCTGGGTTTCGGTGTCGCACAAGCTGAACGACTGCGCTATCTCAGCCGTAATGCGCCGATGCTGTTTTTTATTTTCCCTTTGATGGAAAACGACTTCATCTTGTCGAGGCGGGGCATAACTAAAAATTTCTGCCGTAAATGGCACTGCTCAGTTTTGCCGGACCTCACGTCGATGCAGCGAAGGCTGGACAAACTGAAATTGTCAAAAGCGATCACCGACATAATGACACCTATTGTCAGTCTGAATAAGTCTTCTCCAACATCAGCTGAGGTCCCACCACGTAATGGCATAGTTTATTTCGTAGGGAACTCGATTAGTCTTGGTTCTGAGATCTTTAAACACAACAAAACGCCTCGTGAACAAACACCCTTACGATTTCCTCGCAAGACCTAAAAAACCTTAGCTGACGTCTAATTTAAAGGCAAACCCGAGTAACGTTTTAGCCAGGTAAATCCAGTTCCTTCGAGAAATTTTTTTTCCTTTATGATCTCCTGCCTTTGCTTCGAACACCACGGCCCAAATAAAGCGTGTTTCCAACTACCCCCACATGTCATATCGAAGCGGTTAATCCGAATATGCCGACGTTTTCGTATTTAATTTAATCTATTAAATGCCAGTTTACAGGCGTTGTGAAGGGAAGCGATTAAACACAAATCCGACCAGCAGTGGAAAAAAACTCCTGAAGAATAAAAATATAGTTGATGATGGTTTTTATGGTTTGGAGGGTTCAGGAGAAAAAAACTGCTGGCGGTAGGTTTTCGACCGTCAAGAAGGGGGGGAGGGGGTTGCACGGTATCGGAGAACATCGGACGTCAATTCCTTTCATGAAGTTGGGGATAGTCAAAGTAAAGGCGTTGAGGAACAGCTGGTGAGACCGGCCATAGTGTTCAGAGACCACAAACGCCATCGTTACGGTACAGTCGATCAGTGGATTCAGAACCCAAAATTTGAGGGTCTGAAGAATCCTTATGTACTACTCTCTGAAGGAAAAATGAAATATTGTTTCCCCGAGAAGGATCTCAAAACCTCATCATCTAAGAGATCGAGTAAATTGACATCCCATAGCTTCGGCGGGTGTTTTCCATGGTGAACTGGGAATGCCTTCTCACAAAGACAGCACAAATACAGCCAATTTGTCAGTCTGGTCAACAGCGCCCTCAAATAGTTCTCCTAAATAAATGATAATTTTACAGAGTTTTCACACTCATGGGTAGTTTATTCCAAATAGCAATTGCATTTACAGAATACAACCGACGATATTTAACAGTACGTGCTAGAGGCAGAAATAAGAAGACCTCACGGTGACTGTTACGTCGTGGGTGGATATGATGTCTTAAAGAAGTGAGTGGGTTAAATGTGTGATTTTTTAAGAGTTTAAATAGCAAACATAGTCCCTTTTGTAATCTACGGGACCATAAAGGATCAAGGCCCGTAAGCCGGCAACGTTCTTGGTAAGACAAATGTCGGTGTTCCGGGGTTAAAATCCTCTTGGTAAAAAAGTGTTGAACGGATTCTATTTTCTTCCGCTCAGTAGCACGCATGAGGCTAAATGAAAACGAACAGTATTCCAGACCAGGTCTAACGTACATGTTGTAAAGGCGCATTCTGATATCCCTAGTTTCAAAGTTTCGGAGGATAAACCCGGTCGTTGTACGTGCTTTGGAGACTATCAAGGCACAGTGCTCCGAGAGATTGAGACTCTTGGAGTATGATATGCCCAGATCCTTTATAACCCTGGGCACATTTACGGAGCGACCTTCAATATTTAGTTGAGGTTGGTGGTCGTCGCCAACCACCATGACTGAGCACTTATGCCAAGAAAGAGAAAGGCGCCATGTGCGGCACCACTGGGCGAAAGCCTGTAGATCGCTCTTTAGGAGCTCAAGCACGATGTCACGATCTGCCGGCTTATATCGATATGCAACTTTAAGTTCATCGGCATACATGAAAGGCTTACCATTCTGAAATAAATCGGGTACATCATTAACGAAAAGGCAAAATAAAAGCGGGCCGAGTACACTTCCCTGAATGACTCCACTCCTCACACGTGTGGGTTTGGAAATAGTATTGGAAATCTTAACGCGTTGTGTACGAGTGCCCAGGTAAGAGGATATAAAATTCAAAAGTTTGCCACCTATTCCGAAAGAGGACAGTTTCAAGAGAAGAAGAGCATGGTGAACACGGTCAAAAGCCTTAATAAATTTCAAATATACAATGTAAAGTGCAAAACCATTGTCCCTAGATTGGAGAACATAGTCAAAGAAAGATAGCTGACAGGTGTCACAAGATCCAGCTTTGAGGAATCCATGCTGAGCGGCACTCAGTAAGTTATTCACTGTTAAGTGACACATCATTTTATCTTTGATCAATGTCTCTAAGATCTTCGAAACTGCGGGGAGGGTGTTTATTGGCCGAAAGTCATCAAATGATGTAGATTTGCCGTGCTTAGGAATGGGCAAAATGTGTGATTCCTTCCACAAGGTAGGATAAGTTTCACTTTCAAGAGCAAAATTAAATACCTTGCATAAGAGGGATGGGAAGATCGTGTTTGCATCGGCTTTTAAAATGCTTACTGGAACACCATTAGATCCTGGACTATAAGATTGACGAAAACGCCGAATCGCAACAGTCACATCCCACATAGTGAAAGTTATAGTTTCTAGAACTGCCCCGGTCAATGGCTGGATGGTCGGAAGCGGAATGGGCGAGTCTTCAATGAACGTTTTGGACAGAAAATCATTGAAGCTATCAGCGATTAACTGGGCATCAACTATGGGATTTCCGAGAGCGTCTCGGAGGATGGGATGCTGCGTCTTTCTATGAGTTCGTATTTTTCTAGAGAAAAGTTTCGAAACATTTAACGAATGGTTTTCGGTAAACTGGACCTCCTCGGCTAGCCGTTTTTCTTCAGACAATCTCTTAGCTCGATCAAAAATATCACGAATCAAGGGCAGGACAGAAACATCGTTCTGAAGATGGAAACGACGATAAAGCATGCGCAATCTGCGACGA